CTCTCATAGTCCAGCTCCAGGACATCCTCCGCGGGTGAGACCATGGTGAGGTCCAGTTGGGGCCCCAGCTTGGACAGGCACGGGCGCCCCCTTCCCGCGGCTGCCGCCGCACCCCGGGTCCCAGCTTGCACAGCGCGGCGACCCGGCACCCCTAGCGGTCGCCCACCATGCCCCGCTCGCCGGCCGGCGGAGTTTTACAGAGCATGAGGGGTCTCGGGACCGGCATGGCTAGCTTGGGCGTGCTAGCCGTCAGCGGAGGCTTTTGGCGGTAAAGCGGGGAACAATGCCGCACGCGTGCCACGCGCCGGGGGTGTCGATAGCCTCCTGGGCATGTTGCAGCCCGAGGCAAGACGAGCAGACCTGGTGTGAGTCAGTACTCGATATCTTTAGCCCGCAGCCGCAGAGCCGAGCCTCCGACACTCCGTCTCCTCTGGTGTGAGGGAGGGAAGAGTCCATCCTAGCTAGCCTTGGTGCGGCGTAGAAGGGACAAACGAGCAACAGGCGTGTTACCGTTTGTGGGAAAAAATCCAAAACCTTACCGTTATCCGTTGGAAAAAAACGGCAGGGTAGATTCTGATATTAACTGGAGTGTTAATAAAGAGAATTCCCGTGCGAAGCAAAAGTAGCTGGCGAGCGTCCGTCGACCGAAGGTTAGCTTCGTAAATCAGTCTGTGGACCGTTAAGCTAGCTAGCTACTGATCTTTCTCGAGATGTGCTCCGAAGCGAGAAGAGGTGTTTGAATGACGCCTGCGTCGTGGCGCAAGCTACTTATAGGGTTGGTGGATTCCCTGACGTTGGCGTCAAGATCACCAGCCAATCAGGATTGGCGTAATGAGATTGATGCTTCTGGTGCATACGCGTTGAGGCGCATCCCATAGTGAGACATCGAACGGAGTGTTATGAATGAGAACTACATTGATTGTGTTTGTCATAAATTGTTGAATGTTTTAAAGAGAAATACAATATTTTCAGACTAAAGCATCTTATAAATATAAAACAGTATCAATATCTCCCTCTGCACAACTTCTGGTTGTCTGCTGAGTCTCAGCTGGTTTAACCTCAATTTAGCCTTTTCAAAATGCTCAGTTTATTGGTAAGAAAGATGTCTGAGTGTGGGAAATGCAGAGGGAAATGTACAGCAGTGGCTCAGTCAGTAGGGGCTTGGACTGGGAGCTGTAGGGTCGCCGGTTCAAGTCCCCGACAGGACCTACATTTGGAGTGTGGACTGCTACATGGAGAGGTCCCAGTTCACCTCCTGCCCTGCCGTGGTGCCCTTGAGCAAGGCACCGGACACCCCCCTTCCCCCCTCACTCCCATTGTTCCCCGGGCGCTGTACAATAGCTGCCAACTGCTCCTAGTACTAGACTCCTGGTACTAGGACGGGTTAAATGCAACACATGTCACTGTGTGTGCTGTGTGCTCTGCATGTGTGACCATTAAAGAGGGTTTCATCCCTCCCAATTCTATTCTATCCTATTATACAATTAGCGTGATGTGTATTAATGCTTTTTTCTGATAAAAATAGTAACTTTCTTGGATGTGACCATGTTTAATTACACATGTGTACAATTGGAAGTTTGCCAAGGAGGGTATTCCAGTTCCTTACTCTTTTAATCCTTGCAGTACATAAATAGTGGGTGAACTGCTGCTTGTGTTGCTGTTGGAGTGCATACTTGTGGTAGAAAAAACAGAACTAAATAACTTCAGAGTCATTATTCGTGCTGCTTACTCTTTAGCTTCCTCCTTGGTTGCGTATGTAACATTCACCACTGCTGTTTCTGTGTCAGTATTCACTGTGAAAAAAGACAGAGACACACAAAAAGCAAACATGAGATAAAGTAAATAAATGTAAATAGTTGTGTTTTGTTGCTGCTGTAGGTGAGTTAGACATGCATCCAGGTTTCTGCAGTGACCCAAAGAGCCACTTGTCTGAGTGAATCCATTACAGCCATCCCCACACGCTGGCCTCCCTCCAGGCTGCGCTGCTGCCTCTACAGACAGCAGCGGCTAAACACAATAGCCCCTCTGCCACTTGCACAATAACAGATTTAACGTTGACATGACAGCCTAAACGAAGCAAGTAATCTGTGATAATGCAGTGCAGATTTGTTGTCCTGCACAGCTGCTCAGAGCAGAGATATCTCTGCCACAGCGACAGGTTTGATTCCCGCTGGGACCCCACATGTTTTAAAAGACTGAACTATGCACTGATATTGATGTCTTTGCTTGTGCTGACTGACAACCAAAGCTGGCTGAAAAAACATCCACAGCAGATGCTTCACATATCTTAGAAAAATAAAGACATGCAAAATAAATAGTAAAACTAATGTTTTAAAGTGGGCTTATTTTTTGTGTCGGAAACAAAAATAGATATCAGATCAGGTCTCTGAGAACAAAAACGTCTAAATCTACAGACAGCAGGTTTGGAAGAGTTAAAACCAGAGAGAGTGCCCAGCTGGATTAGACAGGGGGAGTGGGCAGTCTGGCACGGTGCCCGTCCCTCACAGCCAGCTCTGCCCCGCCCGCTGTCCCGCTCCGCCACGGGCAGCCGTCACCATGCCACACAAGAACATGGGACGCCTCCAAAACCCTCACCTCGTGACAAGAGCACGCGGCAGAGAGCAGAGGGAAACTGACAGGCAGACAGGAAGTTGGACAGAGACAAAGAAAGCGAATAAGGATCACACACTGCTACTGTGCAACTCTGATGTTCGAGAGCCGGACTGAAGCAGAAAGAAGAGGAGGAAACGCTGCGCTGGGGATGAAATGGGCTGTTTTACGGCAGCGCCTGGGAAACTCTGAGTGGAGTAAGTTCTCTTTTAGCACCTGTCATGATTACAGTGGGTGGCTGTTGGCTGCTTTGACGCACAGAGTGTAATTATTTTTGTATGTGTGTGTTTGTTTGTCCCTGTGTGTGCACGTTTACTATTTGTGTGTGTAGACGGCAAAACATTAGTCGGGCTGAGTAGCCTGCGCACACACATAAACACACACATACTCAATCAGACAAAAGCCTCACCACAGGCGCCTTCAGTGTCCTCCCTCATTACCACAGTGCACCTCCCCAAAACAGACACACAAGCACGTACAGGCATTAACTAACACACACACACACACACACACACACACACACACACACACACACACACAACTGACCTCCCACTGTAGATCAGGGGGAATGTTCCGGATCTGGATCTTACGACTCCTGCAGAGATGAGAGACACAGACGGAGTGGATTTAACAGACCTGAACCACACACTCACACACTTGAGAGTTTACAGTCATCTGTTGTGTGTACAGAAAATCTAAACGTTACTCACAAAATATACAATATACACAGTTGAGAAGCAGAGACGTTTAGTGGGAAGAAATGGAGAGTCATAGGCGTACTGTGTGAAATCGTTCAGTGTAATCTTAATTCTTAAACATCTACAACTCGTTAGACAGTTTCATAAAGCACTGTTGTAGCGCTGCTGAGGGAAATGTAGGTGAAGACATTTATTAGACAGCAGCCGGCGCCTCTCAGTAACACCCTCCTACTGGTGCTATTCTTACTACTCACTACAGGACGTGGAAGTGACATAAAGGACGAGAAAAAGAAAGTGTCTGTTATAAGACAACAAGAATGATGGAACATAACTTGATAAAAATGAGTATCAGAAAAAGAAACACAGCAAATACTATGAGTTATTGCACATTTCATAATTAAAAAGTGATTTTTATTTGAGAATAAGGTGAAAAGTAGAAGTCACAGATTAATGAAGTTTATCAATAAAAATAAATGGACCTACAAAACTTGTGCTGAAATTCTACATGACTTAAGATGAGGTCACTCCAAATAATCATTTGTCATTAAGAAAGAAAAAAATCCTGTTTCAATAAATAAACAAGATTTCAATGTATTCCTTGAAAAAATACTCTATATATATATAAAATACTCTCTATGTATTTCTTATTCCTTGTCATCTTTGTATATTTGATTTGTCATGAGCAACAAAGATTAAACCCTGAGTTGAACCCTGAACCGCCTCTTTTTCTTCGATATCAAAACATGTCGGTAAGAGAAGACAGAAAGATAGACGTCCAAATGGGACAGCATCCCTCTCCCTGGTCATTTTGGGATCCAGAGCTTCCACACAGACTTCCACTCAGCCTGCAGCGAGCGTGTCACTGCAAACACACAAACCGCCCGCTGACCACAGGCTGTTAACAACTACATTAACGTGAGAGAGTCCTGCTCCGCAATGAGAGCTGCTGATTTAAAAAGCAGAGAGGCTGGTGAGCAAAAAGCCGCACCGCTTAACAACCGTATCCCAAAAAAAATCATTTAAGGACAATTATGGGGCATTACAGGAGCGAGAGTGGAAGACTGAGGTACAGAAATTAAGTTGAGGAGGCAAGCTAATAAAAGCAATAACAAGAGGTGGATCCAAGTTCAGGAGGATGGGGAAAAAAGCCCCCCCCACACACACACACACAGCTCATTCTTGCCACCAACATTTCTTCGTCTAATTTTTGCAACTTTGGCCATTTTTCACAAATAAAGACGCAGGTCAGAATTTCCTGTCAGCAGCGAGGAGAGGACGAGAGGACCGAGCCCGCAGCTGGACATGAATGAAAGACTCTTTCTGATTGTGCTGCTGGATTGAAAAAAAAGAAGAAAAGGAGAAACACAGCATCACAGATTTAGGTCCCTCCTCTCCCCTCCTCTACTTATCGATTCACTCATCTCAACTTTAATAAATGAGTAGACTACTAGTACTGATTATTAGCCAAGCAAACCAAAACAAAAAACTCTTATACAAACATTTGAAAATGTTTTAAATCCGACACCAACTAAAATGTTCCAGGGCAAATTATTTTCTAAATAAAAAAAACACAACATAACTCTTCTTCTACAGAAGCAAACAAACAGACAGCAAGCCCAGAAAACAGAAACTCTCAATTCCCAGCAGGTCCTACCACAAGGTGGCCTGCAACCTTTCTGTCGCTGACGGTGGTTTAAAGCGAGAGCCTCGATGAAAGATCTCTCTTGGCAACCGTTATCCAAACAAGGGTAAACCGATAAAAAAAAACTGCTTGTAGCCCCAAAAGACATCACCTTTTTAAACGTAGTAAACAACCTCCTGCTGTCCAAAAGCAGCCAATAGCTGAAACTTGTTTTAGGCCAACTCCAAACCTCAAAACAGCCCCAAACGTTGGCATCCCCGAGCAGACCAAAATGGAAACTAAAAGCTCCTTTCATTCAGCGCAGTCTGCTTCAAAAGCCCGTGGAGTCTCAGGGCCCGGCTCTCTATTGTGTTCCTGCTAATTGATTTGCCATCTGTAACCTTGATGTAATGTTGGACTACATGATGCTGTCCTCTGTGCTCTTTAAAGTTAACAAGCTCGCTGTCAGCTGAGCGACCTCCTGCATGACCGATATTAACTTTAGGGTTTCTATATCAATGTTGTCCCACTTTACATCGCTAAGGCTTCTTCATCTTCTCTGTAGCTCTGGGCCTACATGTTTTAAAGGCCACTTGCTTGTCTGTCATCCTGAAATATGCAGGGGCAGCTCCCTCAATGGACATCCCTCGGAAAAAGTGACAGTGTCTCCGACAGTTCTTCAAAGTCTCATTTTCAGCATGCCTGTGGCCGCTGGCTAACCATAAGATCACTGCTTACTGACGCTCTGTCTGTCTACAGGGCTGGGAGAGGCCCTCGCTACATGTCACCCGACAACATCTACAATTGTCTGTCTGCAGTGTTTATTACAAGCACCAGGCATTAACTGTATGTCTTTTTATTCTATTATATGTGTTGCTGTTTTAATAATTTTGTTATCTATTATATCTCGTTTTATCACCACTGTAAAGCGTCTTTGAGCACCTGAAAAAGCGCTTGGAAATGAAATGTATTATTATTATGTCCCTAGGTTATATAGTCTCTCTATAATCAGGTAAAAACCCAGTAGGTCTCTGCTAATTTCTGTTTGTTTGCATTCAAGGTGAACCCAGCGCCCTTTCTCAATGAGCTGCAGAGATACAGACTGAAGTCAACGGTTACTTAATGTTTGTTGAATGTGACCGAGCTGTCTGCTCTCGGTTTGGAGCGGCCTGCCAGGAGAAAAAAAAGAAAAAACCCTCTCAATTTCGGCCTTTAAATATCTGAGGGTGGCCATGTTCATTTGAAAAGCTAATATTTACTGCAGCCACGCCACCTGCATGAGGTAAGAAACCGTGTCTGCTAACACGCGTGCAAACTAACACACACACACACACGCGCATGCAGAGCCGTCGGAGGAATTTTAACCTCTGAGGGGGGAGAAAGAGGGTATTCATCCCTCGCCAGGAGTCTTCCTAAGGCTCTGAGGGGCAACCATACAATATATAAAAAAAAGTCTAACCTTTTTGGTTTTTTGTATTGTTTTTTTATTCCTTGTGATTTGCATGTACCTTTTCATCGAGGTCCAAGTTCCAGACAAAAGTGTTGGTTGGAATTAAGAAAACATGTTGCATTGGGCTCTAGGTTATTTTTCACTTTCAACAAATAAAGAACGTAAACAAGCAAAGATAATCAGTGAAATATGACTATGAAATATGACGCTTTTTAAAGTGTACTAAATGAAAAGTGCAGAATTATTAGCAGCAGATTAAATATGGTACTTAAATGATGTGCTGAGTAAAGTTTAGCCCAACTGAAGCTATGTGATGACACCAGTGCTAGCTTTCCTTCACTGAAGAAGACCATAACTTCTTACTAACATATGAATGATGTAGTTGACTTGCTTCAACGGTTGTTAAAAAATAAAATTCTCTATCCTAACAAGTGATATTGGAACATCTGTAACACACCCAATCAGTTTGAAGAGGATATAGCTATTCAATGTGAAGTGTACTTTGGTGTTAAAAAGTCCCTCATGTCAGTAATAAAAAGGCCAGAGCAGGTTTCTCTTCTCCAAACAGAAACTCACAAGTGAAAGATTAAGCAATTGCTTCCACGCTGAAGAATTCTGAGAGATGAGGCCCTGTTTACTTCGCCCTCCCTGCTTTGTGCGGATGCTCATGCTGTCAGAGATCGGCAGCTTACGAGGCGCGCTGTCCTGTGCCCAGCGGGGGGGCTCGCCCCCCAAATGGATAAAAAGACATTCTCAATTGCCTTTCAGTCTACCGGCATTGTCCAGAGCACACTGCCTCAAACACCTCTAGAAACCTCACACCTAAATGTCCTACATGGGAAATTCAGTTTTTTCCCATTAAACTCACATTTTCCTTTCTGCTGTGTCCATTTAGCTGTCAAACACTCCCTTCACATAATTATCAGAGCAAAAATCTCTGATAAGCAGCAATATAGGCACATATTTGCTCCTATTTCATTCCTCTGTGATAAAATGGTGAGCAAAACCGGATCAATCTTTATATTTCCCTCCTCCTGTTCCAGATGAAATCCACGCTTGATGACAAAACAGACACAGGAAGTCCACATCCGCTTTGAAACAGTCCGATGAAAGACTTCATATTGCCCACAAGATAATTGATGACTTTCAAAATGAAAGATAATCTGGACTTCATCACAACCATACCATGCAGATATAGGAAATGAAAACCCCTGCTGTCATAAATCACACTGGAGGCGTGTGATTACGCACCTATTACATTATCATATTACAAACCCAGTGATATGCAGTGCAACACTAATGTGCCTGCGTCTTTTATGTGTGTGGTGGTCCAACGTTTAAGTGCTGAGTGCAGTATAATTTAATCATTTGACTATCAGCGAGATTTACAGCTACTTTAGCATATGTGAGTCGTCACATCATCGCTTGTAAAAACTGTAAAGCTGAATGATACGTTGGCACTGTTCTCATTCCTTCACATCTAGACTGAATGTATTTGATCATTTAATTTTAATGTATACCAAGGCTAGAAGTGAAGCAGCATTATCTTACTGTATATGGGTCAGTTTGTGTGGGTCTGTCAATTAGTCTGGTGGTCAAGCGCAGACTCGTCTAATCTGAATTAACCCAATTTCTGGTGTTGACCCTTAAGCTCTTAAGCACCTAAATGCCTTGAAATCTCAGAGAGGAAGCAACAAGTCAACAATATTCAGGAGACCCTACTATGTGGAAGATGGCTCTGCTCCTTTTTTTCAATCTATGGTGGGGCTCTCATTTTGTTCCACTCCCTGTTGGTGGATTAACAAGGAGCACAGGCCATTTATGTG